CTGTATGAAAATGTTTTAAAAATCACAATAACAACAAATATTAATATTCATCCAGCACAAGGTATGAATAAACTATTATGTTATTTATTTTTATGTATTATTTGTATACGATTCACAATTTTATTACTATTTCACTATATTTTCATTGTATTATTTCACATAAGTTTATTTTGGAATCGTAATTTTTTATATTTAATTAATTAATTATTATTTTTTAATGCTGCAATAGTCATAAATCCCATATCTGAGGGCGTTCAATTACATAGAAATGTGCCACAAGCTGCAATGACGACAAATAATAACATTGTTCCAAAACAAGGTAAGACTTATTTTGTAATAATTTAGCTTAAAAAAACAATGTCAACTTCTGCAATTTAAATATACATTGTCTCATTACTTATGTAATTAATTTAAATTAAATATTAATTTATAAATTAATTATTTCTTAATTAAATTTTAGATGATGGAATAGTCATGCCCCCCATATCTGAGGACATTCAGTTACATGGAGATGTTTTAGAAATCACAATGACAACAAATATTAATATTCATCTACCGCAAGATATGAACAAACTACCATGTTATTCATTTTTACGTATTATTTGTACATGATTCACAATTTTATGATTATCTCATTATCTTTTCATTGTATTATTTCACATGAGTTTATTTTGGAATTGTAATTTTTTATATTTAATTATTTTATTATGATTTTTTAATGATGAAATAGTCATAAATCCCATATCCGAGGGCGTTCAATTGCATAGAAATGTGCCACAAGCTGCCATGACGACAAATAATAACATTGTTTCACAATAAAGTAAGAATTATTTTATAATAATATAGCTTAAAAAATAATGCCAACTTCTGCAATTTAAATACACACGGTCTCATTACCAATGTAATTAATTTAAATTAAATATTAATTTATAAATTAATTATTTCTCAATTAAATTTTAGATGATGAAATAGTCATGCCCTCTATATCTGAGGACATTCAGCTGTATGAAAATGTTTTAAAAATCACAATAACAACAAATATTAATATTCATCCAGCACAAGGTATGAATAAACTATTATGTTATTTATTTTTATGTATTATTTGTATACGATTCACAATTTTATTACTATTTCACTATATTTTCATTGTATTATTTCACATAAGTTTATTTTGGAATCGTAATTTTTTATATTTAATTAATTAATTATTATTTTTTAATGCTGCAATAGTCATAAATCCCATATCTGAGGGCGTTCAATTACATAGAAATGTGCCACAAGCTGCAATGACGACAAATAATAACATTGTTCCAAAACAAGGTAAGACTTATTTTGTAATAATTTAGCTTAAAAAAACAATGTCAACTTCTGCAATTTAAATATACATTGTCTCATTACTTATGTAATTAATTTAAATTAAATATTAATTTATAAATTAATTATTTCTTAATTAAATTTTAGATGATGGAATAGTCATGCCCCCCATATCTGAGGACATTCAGTTACATGGAGATGTTTTAGAAATCACAATGACAACAAATATTAATATTCATCTACCGCAAGATATGAACAAACTACCATGTTATTCATTTTTACGTATTATTTGTACATGATTCACAATTTTATGATTATCTCATTATCTTTTCATTGTATTATTTCACATGAGTTTATTTTGGAATTGTAATTTTTTATATTTAATTATTTTATTATGATTTTTTAATGATGAAATAGTCATAAATCCCATATCCGAGGGCGTTCAATTGCATAGAAATGTGCCACAAGCTGCCATGACGACAAATAATAACATTGTTTCACAATAAAGTAAGAATTATTTTATAATAATATAGCTTAAAAAATAATGCCAACTTCTGCAATTTAAATACACACGGTCTCATTACCAATGTAATTAATTTAAATTAAATATTAATTTATAAATTAATTATTTCTCAATTAAATTTTAGATGATGAAATAGTCATGCCCTCTATATCTGAGGACATTCAGCTGTATGAAAATGTTTTAAAAATCACAATAACAACAAATATTAATATTCATCCAGCACAAGGTATGAATAAACTATTATGTTATTTATTTTTATGTATTATTTGTATACGATTCACAATTTTATTACTATTTCACTATATTTTCATTGTATTATTTCACATAAGTTTATTTTGGAATCGTAATTTTTTATATTTAATTAATTAATTATTATTTTTTAATGCTGCAATAGTCATAAATCCCATATCTGAGGGCGTTCAATTACATAGAAATGTGCCACAAGCTGCAATGACGACAAATAATAACATTGTTCCAAAACAAGGTAAGACTTATTTTGTAATAATTTAGCTTAAAAAAACAATGTCAACTTCTGCAATTTAAATATACATTGTCTCATTACTTATGTAATTAATTTAAATTAAATATTAATTTATAAATTAATTATTTCTTAATTAAATTTTAGATGATGGAATAGTCATGCCCCCCATATCTGAGGACATTCAGTTACATGGAGATGTTTTAGAAATCACAATGACAACAAATATTAATATTCATCTACCGCAAGATATGAACAAACTACCATGTTATTCATTTTTACGTATTATTTGTACATGATTCACAATTTTATGATTATCTCATTATCTTTTCATTGTATTATTTCACATGAGTTTATTTTGGAATTGTAATTTTTTATATTTAATTATTTTATTATGATTTTTTAATGATGAAATAGTCATAAATCCCATATCCGAGGGCGTTCAATTGCATAGAAATGTGCCACAAGCTGCCATGACGACAAATAATAACATTGTTTCACAATAAAGTAAGAATTATTTTATAATAATATAGCTTAAAAAATAATGCCAACTTCTGCAATTTAAATACACACGGTCTCATTACCAATGTAATTAATTTAAATTAAATATTAATTTATAAATTAATTATTTCTCAATTAAATTTTAGATGATGAAATAGTCATGCCCTCTATATCTGAGGACATTCAGCTGTATGAAAATGTTTTAAAAATCACAATAACAACAAATATTAATATTCATCCAGCACAAGGTATGAATAAACTATTATGTTATTTATTTTTACATATTATTTGTACATTATTCACAATTTTATTATTATCTCATTATATTTTCATTGTATTATTTCACATAAGTTTAATTTTGAAATCGTGATTTTTTATATTTAATTATTTATTTTTTAATGATGAAATAAAATTAATCTCATATCCAAGGGCGTTCAATTGCATAAAAATGTGTCACAAATTGCAATGACGACAAATAATAACATTGTTCTATAACAAGGTAAGAATTATTTTGTACTAATTTAACTTAAAAAAATAATGCAAACTTCTACCATTTAAATATACATTGTCTTATTACCTATATAATAATCACTTAAAAAAATTTGTACTTCTGTTTTTTTTTTTTAAATGATTGTGTCTTTCTACCTAAAAATAATTTTACACTTTACAAATAACTTTTTTATTAAATAGAATATTTTTTTAAACAAGTTTTTTATTTTTTATTTTATTTATAAGATACAATGTTAACATTGTGATAAAAGGTAATACTGGTTCAATAAATCTCATTATTTAAGATAAATGGATAGAGTTTATCTTACGATATCAACCATCATATTTAAAAAATATAAGATGAAAGGTGCGAAACTATATAATTTATTATAAGTAGTTATTCCTACATTTTCAATACAATGTTATAATTTCAAAATTTTACAGGATAATGAAATTAGAATGATTAAAAATTCTATTGCGACATGTTAAGATCGTATCTATGCATTTATCATACATCTACTAACAATGCAAACTCAATTAGATTATTTATTGTGCATAACCTTTGTTTTAAATATAAATTAGTTTGAAAAATGTCTATACCTTTTAGAAGGTAAAAAAAAATGTAAGTATAACATTTTATACATAATATATGTATTGTTAATTAATTATAATACTAACTATCATGTTGGCAATGCAAGAATGTTAATGAAAGACCTACAACAATTTAGATTTTAGTTATACGTTATTTTATTTATTTAGTGAATTTCGAACAAAGTAATAAATTCTTGTTTTTATTACTTTAATTATGCAATGTCAATCTTTTATTAAAAAATTACGTATGTTTTATGCTAGTAATTTAAAAATATGTTTGACATAATTATAAATAATTTTTTAAATTCAGGGATTGTTTAGGATATTCTAAATAAGTGTACATTTTGATTTTTATAAAATATGGGTTGGGTATGAGTTAAGTTGAAGTAATGTGATAGAGAGGTAATGTGACTTAAATAAGATGATGTGATTTTTTGACTTTTTAACTTTTTTTAGGAAATGAAAAATAAGGCTTTAATCCCGTACACAGCACGAGTGATATACTAGTTATTTAAAAATTAAAAGGTTAAAGTGAAGAAACTACCAAACATAAAACGATGGTGTTACATACACCAATTAATGTACACACTAATAAGATTATACCATATCATCTGTTGATATACTAATGTGTATACTAATTAGCTCATTTAACATTATTCAACATTAAAATAAAAAAAATAAAAAAAATAAAGCGAAAATGTAATTTACCATTAAAATTTTAATGAAAAACGGGTCGGTTTCGTCTGACATGGTCCTTTAGCCGCCGGCTTTCAAGTTACAAACTGCCACGTGTCGGAACAGCATGTCAGACGATGCGCAAACCACGGTCCGGCGTACGTTAGAGCTATGGCCATCATTTGAATCCGGATAAGCATGCTATTAGTAATTACGCTTTCGCTGAAAACTAGAGAAACAAGTGGATAAACATCTAAGCAGTCCCCTCCTTTTGACCCGACCACTCCACTCCATCACAACCGTCCAACCCAAATCATTCCCAATCATGCGCTCCACAATATCCCACGTGTCAAACACATCTTTGAGGGCGTCACATCCAATATTTCCCTTTCGTGACTATTATATTGCTCAGCTTTGATCTGTTACGTATAAGATTCTTGTCATTTTTCACACACACACACGCTAGTTTACAGAAGAGAGAAAGAGAGAGAAAGAGAAAGAGAGAGAGTTTTAGAGAGAGAAAGTGTGGAGAGAGAGAGAGATGGAGTATGAGAGTCCGAGGAGTGGAATGTCGAGTCCGGAGGCGAAGGTAGGGATGCAAGTGGAGGACCTGTGGGACGTACAAGAGCCGCAGCTCAGTCCTACTGAGAAGCTCAACGCTTGCTTCGAGAGCATTCCTGTCTCTTCTTTCCCTTCCGCTCCTTCTTCTAAAGGTAATCAATCTAATTACCTTTTTTTTATATATATATATATATATATTTATATGCATATGTATATAGATTTTTTTGATGTTGATTTTGATCTAAGAGTATCTTCAAATTTACGCCAATTTTTTGGTCAAATTCAAATTGAGCTCTAATTATTTCATTAAGTTTCTATCAAATAGGAAAATTTTTACCTAATTAATGATCCAGATCATTCACCAAATTTTTTGCAGTTCTATATTTTTAATCAAATTTGATGAAAATTTAAAAATTAGGAATTGGAGATGATTTTCATTCGTAAAAAATGGATAAACAGGTTTTTAGGATGAGTGTAGAATTTTTCACAATGATTTCATGAAAAAAGAGAGAGAATTGGGGATGCTCTAAAGGAAACAGAGATAAGGGGAAATTGTGCCGTGTAAGATGAAGATCGCTAGCAGTTTTTTAGGAATTATAAAGATTTGTGATTGAATGTGTTGCGGATATAGCTTGAGATCTCCAGAGAAGGGAAGAGAGGATGGAGGGACCTCATAATTGAGCACCATTGAATGTAATTTCGCTGATAGTCACTTCGTTTGATTGATGAAAATTTTGAAGAAAATAAAATTTGGACCTTACTTGTCACATCGTTTGAGTCTTATTCTATGTTTGTTTAGACGGATTAGATTATATTGGATTAGCATTACTTGGACTAACAGGCTTAGGATTATCAATTCCTTTGGATTGACTTTTGGATTATGAGAAAGGATTGACAACATCCTATGAATTTTGCAATTTAACTAGTTAGTCTGAACCTGTATTTAGTCCTCCATTTTATATCTCACACCCCCCATGGGATTCAGTAGTCCTCTATATGAGGGATACTATGATATACTATTAGTCTAGACTCCAATTTTCTTAGCCAAACACTGGATTATGCATTTTCTCAGATTATTAGTCCTACCCAAGGCCATGTTTGCCCAAACAATATGCTCTTAGCTTATACAGAATGGAATACAACCGAACCAAATACTTATAAAGGGCTGGTCCTTGTTGATTGAAAAAAAAAAATCTTGGAGCTAAATGATCAAATAAATTTGCATTTCCTACTTTTTCCTGACAACCAAACAGAAAGTTTTATATCTAAATGGGATTTAAGTAGACACCACTATTTCGAATGAGTGGAAAATTTCCGACCTTTGCCCATTTTTTGTATAATTATCTAGGGTGCTTTTCCCTTGGCTGGATTGTGTTTGTATCTGTATTTGTATGTCTAAAACATGTTAGGGCGTGGATTACCTTTATGGAAAATGCTAATGAGTACTTAATATGTGTAAGAAGTTTTAAAAATTGTGTAAAAAATGAATCAAGTGTCTGAGAATATGTGAATTGAGATTGTAATTATTTTGATATTTTCTCCAAGCATGACCCTACCATTATATATGAGGCAGAAGAGAGTAGGAACTATAGTTTCTCCTATTATTATCAACATATTTGGGTGATTGCCTTTATATATGAGCTTAGTGGCTACAGTTTCTCCTATTTTTATCAACACTAATTAGGTGATTTCTTGCCTGCCCTAAGCTTTGCAAACCTTTTATCCAGATATTGAGATAAACTCGGATGCTAGTCTGGCTGAAGCAGTCTTGTTGATGTCCCAACACAAAGTTCTTAGTGCACCTGTTGTGGATGTTGACGCACCTGAGGATGCTAGTTGGATTGATAGATACATGGGCATTGTTGAGTTTGCGGGTATTGTTGTATGGATACTGCATCAGGTTAGCATGCCATTATCTACTGTTGGAAACAGAATATATAATTTCTTTTGTTAAAAATGCGAAGATGCTTTTCTAATTCACAGGTCACGTCCAAAGGCCAACTTGAAATCAATGATCTAACTGTGGTCATATTGTTTGAAATTGAATGGAAAATTTTAACCATTTATTTTGTATGGATTTCTGATACATTTTTGGTTGTACAACATTTTTTTAAATAATTCCTGTGGCTAAAGTTTAAGTACATTTTTATTATAAAATTATTGGTACGGTTATTTATTCATTTTTCTGATTGAGTACATAGGACAAGCAAAACTCCTATAATAACCAAGTGAAGGTAGTGCTGCAGGGGACGAGAAATATTTTTCTTTTGTTGTTACAATATTTATAATAATTTATGTACTTTGTCAACAAATTTAGAAATTATCTTCCCTATGTGTTCACCATAAAACAGTTGAGTCCTGAATACCCAACTCTAATTTCTGGTAATGTATTCCTTTTGTTTAATAAGACAATGTTAATCAGTGAGTGGTTAAGAAAGGGAAATGTTAGGAAATGCCTGGAGGAAGTGTATGTTTTTTCTTGATTGATTTCTCGGTGAGTGGCTACATCAGGTCTTCTGCAAAGGATAATATTGAGATCTAAAATAAATAAAAAAAATTAGAAAAAAAAATTCTTAATCACTCCGTCAACGCAATCAGGATTGATTACCAGTGTAGACATGTAGTATTCTGTTATCTTTTCTTTCCAGGGGATTCTGAAAGCAAGATGGGTTTATATATTTTGCAGTCAGAAAAGCTAGATGGATCTGATGGATCAGAGTTATTCGAAGCTGAACCAGACTCAATCACTGGACCTGCTGTTGCAGCTGCAGCTGCAGCTAATGGAATGTCTTCTCCTAGAAAATTTGGAAATTTAAGTCCTAGATCTGCTGCAATTATATCTGGAAAGTTTTTTGAGACCCTAACTTCATCCGACTTTTATAAGAACACAAAGGTTGTACTTTCAACTTCTATACTCTTAATTCTTATAAAGCTTTTGCTTTTATAGCAACCTCAGTTTCCATTCCACGTATGCTTCTCCAATCTCTCATAACTTTCAAATATACAGGTTCGGGACATCTCAGGGTCATTTCGATGGGCTCCATTTCTCGCTTTGCAGAAATCTAATTCCTTTTTGACCATGCTTTTGCTACTATCAAAGTACAGAATGAAGAGTGTTCCTGTGGTCGATCCAGGAGAAAGGAAGATTGATAACATCATCACGCAGTCTGCTGTTATTCATATGTTGGAGGAATGCGCCGGTCTTCATTGGTTTGAAAGTTGGGGCACCAAGACACTATCTGAACTTGGTCTTCCTTTGGTAAAGACCAGTCGCATTATTAAGGTATGTGATATTTTTCAGTTAATATTATCTTTATATGGATGCAAGATTTCAAATGCTCGTACCCACCATTGGTCATTCTTCATTGTCTTACAAATTGTCCTATGACGATTGAACGGTAAAATAATTTTAAGGTGAAGAAACAAAATGCTTTCTATTGCTATTTTCCTTTTCTTTCTTTTTCCATCTCTTTGGTCTTCTGGCCTCTGAAAGAGGGCCGTGGGGAGGAGGGGTTGGGTTGACTGACTGACTAAATTTGATAAAAACTCTGGAAATTTTTAAAAAAAAAAATCATAAAAGGCTTCATGTACAAGAGTTTGAGGTTTTCTTTGGAAAATTTATGGATGATTTCTGTTGAGATTCTCCTCTCAGCTTGCATATCTGACCGAACCTGTAGTTGCTTTTTGGCTGGATGATTTGTTTCAGCCCATTGAATTTGCTTTTTACTTCCATATGCAAACTTCTTCTGAAGCTTTCTCCATTTGTTTTCACCGAGTTGAATTGAATTTTGGTTCCCTCATTAAAATTATTTTAGTGATTGCCATCTGGTGAACAAGTTGGTGATTTCTCCTCACTTGCCTTGTTAAACTCAATAAAATTTAGAGTAATTTGTTTTAAGTTGAAGCTGCAATGAAGGGCAATTCCTGCACCACCGAGGATGGGCTCAATTTAGGCTGAAGGTGTCAGAAAGATAAGGGGAGGGCAAAAAGAACATTGCTTAAGGCAATGAGAAGACATGTTTGCATATGCTAGATGGTTAGAAAAGATTTGTGTAGCTGACACAAATACTTGGATCTTGTTGTTGAGTCGAATCGTTCACTTGCCTTGTAACTACTGTGAATAAGTTATCATGGTCCACGAGAATTTCCAGCTTCATTTAGCCATTGACATAATGCCCTCCTTTTTCCGAATGTTTCTCACATCTCCTTCTATAAGGTCTATTAATGTTCTCCCCTGGGATGAGATAGATAAAACTTCTTACTTGCACATGCCAGCTATGTTATGGAAATCCAAATCTTTAATACTGGTTCTGTAAAGTAAAGAAAGAACTAATGGTTCAACACGGGTATACAAGAACCCTTCTTTTCGGGGCAACATAATTAATATTTTCTTTTAATACAGTTTTGGCACTATGTTTTGTGATTTAGCAATTTCCTTCAATGATTTCATCTTGTTTTGCAGGTCTACGAGGACGAAACAGTTTTGCAGGCATTTAAACTGATGAGACAAAAGGGAGTTGGTGGGGTACCAGTGGTTGAAAGTGGTGGAAGAAAGGCAATCGGTAATATAAGTATTAGAGATGTTCAGTTTCTTTTAATTGCACCCGAGATATACAAAAACTACAGGTTAGCTGATGAACTTCTTTTCCATCTACTACCGTTAATTCCTGTAATTGATCTGCTTGATTATTGAGATTGTATGTAAGATGTTGATGCCCAATAAGATTGGCTTGAGTTGATATATAGTGTGGATGCGACTAGACTTGTGCACAAATTAGATACATTATGCAACATTATTAAGTGGATGAGTCACTTGTTAACTTTTGAGATGTGTGAGAATTGAGTGGCTTGGTTTTTCAAAAATGAGTGGCTTCTTTCCAGGCTACATGCATAGTATATAATACTTCCTACATAAACAAAACATCAATTGATCTAGAAAGATCTTCATAGGGCCATATGTCTGACTTCCCACAATTCAAAACAAAACCTCAAAGTTGATAATTGAAGCAACTTCACATAAGTTGTTCATAAAAATGATAAATACTCAATAGTGGGGAAAGAAATAGTGGTTAATTGTGTAAGTAGGCCAACTACATGATTATTTCTACTACTGAAGTTAACTGTATGGCTCGTTTAGTTCTACTTATTTGTAGCTTCTTTAGCTTAAAATTTGAAATTGAATGCTTAAGTAGTTGTACTTAAAAATGTGGATGTTTGGTTTCACTTTTTAAAGCTCAAAAACGTTTTTCAAGTGCGTTTTTATGTCTCTTAAAGCTAAAATAAATTTTTTTTAGTGCTACCAAATGGTGTAGAGCGTCAGAACAGATTGTAGCAGTTTGCTTTCCCTGTCAGATCGATTACCATTCTAAGGTCCCATTTGTAGGCACTTATAGTTATATGACATGTTTTTACAGATCCATCACGGCCAAGACTTTCCTGACAGCAGTTAGAAACTACCTTGGTGAACACAAAGAGGCCTCACCATTGTTGAACGGCACGGTTACATGTCAAAGAAACAACACAATAAAAGAAGTAATCATGATGCTCAACGCCCAGAAGATTCATCGGATTTATGTTGTGGACGATGAAGGGAATCTAGAGGGGGTAGTCACTCTCAGAGATATCATCTCAAAGCTTGTACACGAGCCTCGTGGTTACTTTGGGGATTTCTTCGACGGTGTTTTGCCATTGCCAGAGAATTGCAGGGTCTAAAAAGCATCGAACTGTTGGTTTTGCAGTTCATATGCTGCTGATGGATTCTTAGTCATTGACCTGTATTTGTGTGTGATGTCTGTGACTGTGTCAACTGGAGACTGGTAGGAGGTGGCGTGTGTGTGACAGGGTTTTAAATATCAGCCATGATGTATCGTATATCACCCGTAACATATCAAAATTTTAGATTTCTCGTTATTCATTGATATATTGGCCAATAATATCCAATATTGGCCAATATATAACTACATCGTTGATACCGATACATATCCTGATACTGTTATTTAAAACCATGGCGTGTAACATAGGCAAAGCTTTTTTGTAGTTATTGATAGAGTTTGTTTTTCTTTTGCGTTATGTTGTACCCACAAACTCCACCGGTGTGCCCCTTTTGTAGCTAAAATAATGGAAGTTTATGTTGTTTTTGTGCCTGTGGTTCTCTATTTTTAGTTTCCAGTGGAAGAGCTAGAGATCTGAACATTGATATCTTTTCTTGTTGGTGCGTTTGTTTTAGAAGAAAATATTTTATTTGAATTTTTTTCCCTGGAAAATATTTGATAGAGAACATTTTTATTTTTATTTTTATTTTTTATTTTTTTTTATTATGTTTTTTGAGTTTTGAAATTGATGTATTAGTTGTGGTGGTGGCTGTAGGGTGGAGGTAGGGACGGACCTACCAAGGGACTGGCGACTTTTACAAAAATTTTAATATCTCTAATATATATAAAGAACTGGGCTAATTTAAGTGTGAAGGATTAATAAATCTGAAAATATGATTTTGTGAATTGTTTAGTTCAGTTTTTTTTTTTTTTTAAATGAATCCAGAGGTAGAAATTATACAAAAAGTATAATCATTTACACATTTAGATTTAATTTTTTAAGGATAAAAATAGATTTTTTTAAATGTGAAATTACACATTTGGACAATTTGTACTATAGAGGTTTTAAATTTTATTTCCTTCTAGAACAAATTTGACATTACGAACAAAAATGTAACACTCTAATAACGTAATATTCTAATATAATGTACTAAAAAATTCTTTAGTGTACTTTTTTCAAATGTAACACTCTAATGTAATACATAACAAAAATTCTTAGTGTACTTTTATCAAACGTAATATTCCATTAACACTCTAACGTAACACATACAAAAATATTAAAAAACTTCTTGATATACTTTTCTCAAACGTAACACTCACAGTTTGAAATTATATATTTGTCTAAAGTTTACTAAGGAATTTTTGTGTTCTTTTGAAATAGTTTGAAGAATTCTACATACTTTTTTTGGAGTACTATATTGGATTGTTTCGTTTAGGAAAATTGCACTAAGGAATTTTTTTGAAGTGTTACATTGGAATGTTACCATTTGAAATTATACATTTGTCCAAAACTTACTAAGGAGTTTCTGTACTCCTTTTGAAATGTTTGAAGATTTTCACATCCTTTGGGAATGTTTGGAGAATCTCTTATTTCAAGTTATTTTTGTACTTCTTTTGATTCTCATACATTGGAATGTTTTTCAAATAAAAAAGATTCTCAAATAAAAATTCATCCCAAATTTAATTATCATAAATTATATATCTTACATTTTTAGCACAAAAGAAAAAAAGAAAAAAGAAACATAATAGAAATAAAGGTATAACCATAAATTTAATTTCTAAATAATATATTAAATCTACCTTTCCAAAATCAACGAGACTAATTTATTTATAAGAAAATTCTCGGGACTAAACAGATCACCATTCATCAATATGAGATTTATAGGTAAATTTTTCTAAATTTAATTAGGACTTTTTTATAATAAGAAAATAATAAAATTTTGCTATTTCTTAACTACACATGAATACTATATTTTAGTACTAGGAATAACATAAGTTTTAGACTAAAAAAAAAAATACCAAAACAAAAAATATCAAATAGCAACAAGTAAATTATAAAAATTATATACGTCAACTAAATTTTTGAAATTGTTCTATAGGAAAATAATTTATATCGAAAAATTCTGTGAAGAATATATAAGATTTGTAATTTGGCTCCTCATGAGTCAACTTTCTGGTTCCACCTTTGGATGGCGGTGGTGGGGTGGTGGTGGTGGACGCGGCAATGGTGGAGGTAATGGTGGCGATGATAATTAATTTGAAAATTGTTTTTTTACCTTTCAAAAGTGTAATATTTTTTTGGCTCAAATAGACTTATTTTCGATTGACAATGAAAAATGTTTCCATTGACTTGTGTTTTTCATTATACCAAGAGAAAATTAGTGAAACATTTCTCTTTAACTATTGGTAGTAAGAGAAGTCCAATATGTTTTTTTATTATTATTAGTTAAGGTCTCTCTATGTAATTTTTCTGTGAAAATTGAAATTTCTTTGTGTCGGGCCAAAATTTCTATGTATCGAATTTTCTTTGTGAAAATTTTGGAAAACCCAAACTACTATAAAAATATTGTATATCTTTCATCTTATAAAATTTCAATATCAAGGATCTTAAAAAAATTTCCCCTTATACCAAACGTTAGAAAATATGAAAATTATTTTTTACTCAAACAAACATAGCATGACAATATCTCAATATTCTCTTATTATATATTTCAGATGCATTATCTATCACTTCAAATTTAACGAACTCCAATTTGATTTGTTTATTTTTGAACTGATTCAATTATTATACTTATTATGATTAACTTGATTGTTTTTTATCCAATTTTGAAGTGTGTTTATATTTTTTTTGCCAAGAGAGAGGAAGGGAAATAGGGGAAGAAAAGTTGTATTCGAGGCGATAAAGTTTGAATCTAGGCATCACGCTTTAGTAAGAGATTCTTAATCACCAGACTAATTATTCATTTATCGAGTCGAGTTTAAAAAAATAAAAAATAAATTAATTTTGAAATGTTTTTAAATTTTATATATATATACAAGAAGTCAATCTCAAATAAATAATTCTTTAATCAGTTAAACGCGTGTTGAGTTGGATTAGGTTAATTCATTTTGCAACCTACATTTAGCATAGAGCCATTGCCATAAAAAATGTCTCACATTACGGAACCCAACTTAAAAAAACCTTTGTTTATAAATGATATATAATTTTTTTGAAGCACAATCAAGCTCCATGGTGAATAACTAGAGTTTGATTTATTATATTTTACTTTTTATCATAACAACATACATCAATGGTTCAAGTTAAAATTAAAGAAATTTAACATTAAAATCATATAAATGAATGAAAAATGTTGAATAGGTTAAAGAGAAAATCATACCACCAAATCAAATCATATCATATTTGGATGAACATCAAAGCCACCATCTTATCTAAATATAATAGAAAGTACTCAGAAGTGCCATGCCCTTTGGCCAATAAAAAATTTAAAGATCAAAGAAAGTTCAATAATAATATTACGTGCCATCAGACATTCCAATTTGTTGACCCAATTGATAAAAAAAGGGTGGGATTGGATTGTGATTGCTGAAAGGCTAACTACTCTATGAAAGTGTACAAGTTTTCATTCAAAATTGTTGTTCTACTGGAGATGGGAAAGACGGGTTCGTTTGGTTTGTATTTCTGAAAAAATTTTGGGAAATTTTCTCTACAAATAAGTTTTCAAAAGTAATCAAATCAAACAAATTTTCTCAAAAAAATTTCTCAAAACTTGTAAACCAAACAAGTTTTTCAAACAAATCTCTCTCTCACACACATCAAATCAATCACTTTTTTCAAAACTCTCTTTCAAAATAATTTTCCAAAATATCTTTTGAAAAAAACCGAACCAAACAACTTTTCGTACTTTTTATCTCTAAAACACATCTCTCAAACACAAACCAAACATACCCGTAATATCCCTAACTGAGGCCAGTGATTCATGGTCCCCCAAATCTCTCTATATTATGTACTCATAGTCTTGCGATGTGATGAGAATTTTAGAATACGACAACTTAAAGATATGATTATGCAGTTAGAAATGTATTGAGAACATAAACCACAGTTACAATTCTTTAAAATTGTTTTTCCTACAGCTTTTCATTAGGGTGTTCATGGGTTGACAACGAATGTGAATTGAGTTGGCAATTGAACAAATCTTAATTTTGCGCGAACCAAATCAAATCAAACAAAGTTAAGCCTTAAATCACATCAAATTGAGTCAACTACATAATAATTTTTCTCTAAAAATCTTAATTTTACACACAATAAAATAAAATTAAAAAAAAAAAAAACATATTTTACAAAAAATATTTAATTTTTTTAAAATAAACAATGAGAAGTGAGGGTTTTGCCTTTCAAAAAGTGAAAACGTCATTTTCAAGTTTCAATATTTTATGTATTGAACAAATAAATAATACAATATGTAAATGATATGTATATATATCAATATTTACAAAGAATTCCTAATTTTATGTGGTGCGGTCGGGTCTGTCCGTCACCCAACTAAAACTTTTACTTTTTTGAAATTGTTAGCCTTGCATCCGTCCAACCGTTGCATCAAAACTATCCATTTGAAGTCGGGTTGGACAGGTCGGCTGAATGTTTGCCTAATCCAACTTTTCATATGTTTCTAGGCATATTATATCTCAAAGTTTGGGTGTTCGAAATTTACTTTTTTGACGACTGTTTTTCATCTACCGTGAACATTTAAAAAAAAATTCAAATAGCTTTGGATTGTGTTTGAATTATGGATTTAAAATAAGAATTTGAAAAGAAAAAAAAATATGGTTAAATTTGAAAAAATATAACTACATTTCATCAACATTTTATCTTTTCTCTTTTCAAATAATCTCAATCTAATTCCATATCCAAAAACAACTTTAAACTTTTGAGTTCTAGTTGACGAGATGCACTGACAAAAGTAAAAAATAAAAAATAAAAAACTGAAAAAAAAATCCAAAAAAGACAACAAAAAAAAAGGAGCCAAAAGCAGTTTTTTTTTTGAATTTTTTCATTTTTTTTAACTTCGTCTACATAAGAACAAGAATTGCATTCCATAAGCTCTACGTCAATAAATAAACAAAAATGAACCTAAAAACAGAAATAGATAAATAAATAGAAACAAAAACCAAAACTAACAACCCGTTTTCAAGCAGCTAATTTGGATCTCAGGAAGAACATTGCTGTTCCACAACATTTCAACTTTGGTAGTTCATAAAGTTCATCTCCATTTCATTTACACCTTTTTTGATCCAGAAACAAAATATATATATACATATATATAATCCAGTGCAAAAGAATGAAGGGCCCGATTACACGAGGAATGCTTATATAGACTTCACAATTTCCACAGAGTTGAGAAAGAAAGACCTCAAAAGATGGGAAAGAGGAACATGCTGAAGGTAAAGAGGGTCTAGTGCCAGTTTTTTTACGTTAATACATTTACAGACAGAACGAGAAAAAGAGGCTTAAGTTCTGTTATCTTTCCCTTTCTTTTTCCTTTTACTCGCGAGGTTTCAACAAAT